GTATTCACAGGACTCCTGCGTCCCGTCAGGGAAGAAGGGCTCCCGCCCCAGCAGGTAGCGCCCCTGAGAGAAAAGGTGCCGCCTAGGGGCAGCGCATCGTGAGGTCTCTGGCGCAGCGGGGTCAGCGATGGGGTGCGTGTCCCGTGCGCCGCTCTGCCCCAGCCAGCAGACGGGGCCTTGCTCTTTCCCGAAGGAGCCTGCTTGCTGCCTTGCCTCTCGGCTTCTAGGCGTAATGGCTGTTCCGTCGCAGCCAATAGTGGGGCGACGTTAACAACAGGAAAAAAACAAAAACAAAGCAAAGCAGGCGAGGTGGTAGCGCTGAAATCTACCTGATTATGAAATGGTCACTGATAGGACCTGAGCCACTAAACTGATCAGAACACTTCTAAGTGCTGCTGCAAGTGGTGCTATGCCAGTGTAGAGCCTTGCGGACAGGGCAGTTACTGAAATAAGCCTTTTCCTTTGCTCTGTTTCTACAAGTGCTTTGGATGAAGGGTTTTGCAAATGGAATATAGGTCAGTGACACGGTAGCAACACATTATTTGTGTTTTCGCTTACTAACTAAAAGCTGGGTTTTGCATTACTAACAATTGAAATGTCAGGCTTCCACTTAAGGTTTTCTCTTGCTTTTCCTATCCTGGCATATAATTTTACTGTTACATTTTGAGTTTAATATCTATAGGCCTTTGCTCATTACCTTGGAATATACATTGTTACATCTTTGTAGCTCATTTTTTTTTAAATGGGGAGGAGCTACACAAAGAAATTACAACTCATAACTTTTCTCTTGGTTTTCTGTATGATAAAGTTGGATGTGTCAGCCACCCAAATAATGGACGATTTGCAATAAATATCTACAAATTATGTGGAAGAGAATAAAGTGGGATGGGTGGGTAAATATCATTGATGACAATAAAATGCCTCAAGTATAAGCATTATTGATGGTTGCAGAAGGGTGCTGAGGCTTGTTGATAGTTATCTAAAAAGAATTACAATGTAAAGAAGTGGGAATCCTGTCTTGTTTTCTTACTTGAAAAGACATTTTTTTGATATTGCTCTGCACCCCCATTTTAAACATCACAGTTTCTGAAATTAATTTTTTTGCCACAGAAAATATCTAATAAGCTTCAGAAATAAGCAGCGACCACAGAGCTTATTATGGATGCTAGATTCAGATAGTGAGGGTATAGTTATATGTCCATCTTCGCTAATGCTGAATTCTTGTTTAAATTTCCTTACCAGGTGATAGAGGCAATATTACACCTCAGATGCACCATTTTTTTTAAAGATCTGGCAGAAAAATGTGAATTGAATTTGTTCTTATTGTTAGAAACCACAGGATGAAGTCCTGTTCTTTGTTCAAAAGTTCAATATTTTGTGAAATTCATCCTTTTATCTAGATACTTAAAACAAAATCAGTTCTCACCATTCTCAGTCTCTCTCTCAAAAATAATATAAAAATGTGTTATATAACATATAAACCTTAAAACACTGGTTTCAAAATTGAGGTCCACAGACCATTCCTGGCTGGACCAGTTGCACAATCTGTCCTGGGGGATGCAGGCGGCCCTGTCCCCTAAGCCCTGCCCCTTCCTGCCATTAACCTGCCCTTTCCCCTCCTTGGCACTCTGTTCCCTAAAGGATGTGGCTTTGAGGATTATGGGGGTGGGCTGTCAGGGGTCCACACTTTATTTGTCTCTGGCTGACAAGTGCTTTATTATAGTAAACTGCTTGCCCAGAGCAGTGTGGAGTTGTGTTTGATCTACAGGGCATCCCACTATTATTGGCCCCGGTATAAGTCTGTTCCACACTGAAGTAATTGATGCTTATAGAAACGGATGTGTTATAAGTCCTCCCATTCCCCACTCTTAAGTTGTGCAAACCTCTCCTCCTCCCCCCCCAATTTGCACAAATGGAAGTCAGCTGCAGGAAAAAAAATTCCCTGCTTTAAGTTATTTTGCTATAAATCCCAAGGTGTTTTTTTTTTTTTAACGTATCTTGGACTTATAGCAAGGACGGCCTGTAATGAAGCTAATGCAGTGCTATCATTAGGGGTGTAAAAAATATAGAAAAGAATTATCCATGTAACCAATTGGTTACACAGTTAAATGGTTTAGGACAGTGGTCCCCAACCTTTTGAGGTTGTCGGGCGCCAGGGGGTGTGGCCGTTCGCCCGCAGGGCACCAAGGGGTGGGGACACTTGCACGCCCGGGGGCACCCCCCCATAGCCGCATGCCTGGGGCCCCCCCATAGCCACGCGCCCGGGGCCAGGGCCCCCCCATAGCCACGGGGCCGGGGCCCCCCTATAGCCGCGTGCCCGGGGCTGCCGCTCACACCGTGTTGGGGACCACGGGTTTAGGGTATGTAGTGGTAGGGAGGTAGCCCCTCACTGTGAACTCTGCCCCTCCTAGATCCAGCAACCAGCCATAACACCTTCGGTCCCAGGTGCCTGCTCCGCTGCTGCTGCCAGCCACACTCCTGGCCGTCAGCCCTGCTTCTCCTTGTGCACAACTCCTGCTTCTCGTTATTGTGCACAACTGACCATACCAACTCCATAGATGTGCTCCTGCCTGGAGTAGACAGGTATTGGATTCTCTGTGTGGAGAAGAGCTGTGCAAGAACAGCTACAGACCATCTGTGGAAAGATAGGCATCTCTAAACAGATTACATAGGGGATGAAGGCAAAGTGAAATGATAGGGATCAGCAGCAGTGCCACATAAAAGCCAAGGACCTACACCAATTACCCTTAAGACCAAGGAGCGCAACAGTTTGGTGCTGAGCCAGAGTCCTATTGCTTCTATGATTAGCTGCATACCATATTTGCTGGAGATCCCATCAACACACTACAGATCAATTTGGATATCTTTGAGGAGTCTGAGAGAGACCTGTGCTAGAAACAAGGAGAAGTGGGTGAGATGTGGGAGAGATTTTGGAGAGAGGGTAATTGCAGTCATGTAATGGATCAGGATTTGTTAGAGCCATGGAGTCCAGTATAGGGATGTCAGTGACTAGTCTACTAGCCAATAAGCATACTTATGGTGAAATACACTGTGAAAAGTGTAGTCAAGAAACTAGGCTTAATATATTTACAGAACTGTGTTTTCTTCTCCCATCATAATAGTAACTACTGTTAAAAAATAGACATTGCTGTCCAAGACAGACAACTGGACTAGGGTATATATATTGTAGTAAAAAAAGTAGGTTAATTGGGCACTACTTTATCTCTTGCTGCTGTAGCCCTTGTGTCTTAGGTCAAGGTTGAAAGAATTTGGTGAGTATCAAGAAAAACTTGAAATGCCATTGTTTGTTGCTTTGTGTAAGTAAATATTGCTGATCGTGATATCCATTATTAGCTAAAAGGAGAGTTTGGTGGAAAAAATTATTTCCATTTAAAAATTTTCTTTAAAAATGGTCTATTTTCTACTAAATTAAGTGTTTTTCTTTTTAAAGTACAGTTTCTGAAGATTGGTGTCATTATAAACCAGAAAACTGACTAGTAAAGCTATCAGTTAACATGATTTTTGGGACAATGAATGACATAATCTGTTTCTTAAGGAGAATTATTTGGATGAGAAATGTATTGATCTTACTTTTGTTCTCATCATGCCTCTTTGTTTGCAAAATATACTGATTGAAAAATATTTTCTTTTCAGGTGACACTTTCTTTGATAACTTTGACTCTTTTTCCTTCTAGCTTCACAAATTAAGGACTTTAGAGAAAAACAAATTATGACAAGACGTGAAGCATTTCTACAAGTTGTATCTATAGATACTGTTGAGAAGTTTGTGAATTACATGCAAATTCATGTAAGTAAATATGAATAATAGACTTGGAAGGATTTCACTATCATACTTAGATTTTTTCTTTTGGTTTTCCATGTTAGTAACTGCATACATGTTTAGAATAATTATTGTGGTACTAATTTAATTTTAAAAATTAATACTTAAAATGCATTGCCAACTTAGACTGAATGTCTTCTGGCTACCAATCTAGTATGCACTAAACTCTTGAGGTCTCAGATTTGGTTCTGCCTGCAGATGACCAGGGTTCGTCAGCATTATACCAGCACCTGTCCTCTATTTATTCTTTACTAAGATATAGCGTGTGGTGTTAGGGGATCTTAATTAAACTGACTTGAGCATATTTATTTGTACAGTTTGCATAGGATACTTCTGTTCTTTGAATGATTGCTCATGTCCATTCGACATAGGTGTGCATGCCTACCACATACACTGGTGCCAGAAGTTTTTCCTTAAGCAAGTACCCATAGGCTACGTCTACACTACATGCTTGCGCAAGAAGCCTTTTGCACAATAGTTTTTGCGCAAAAACTTCTTGTGTAAGATCACGTCCACACCTCTTGCTCAAAAAAGCTCTTATGGCCATTCACAGAAAACCTACCGACCGCTATGCCTACCTTCATGCCTCCAGCTTCCATCCCGGACACACCACAGGATGCATTGTCTACAGCCAAGCACTAAGGTACAACCGCATTTGCTCCAACCCCTCAAACAGAAACCAAAACCTACAAGATCTTCACCAAGCATTCTTGAAACTACGATAACCGCACGAGGAAGCGAGGAAACAGATTAACAGAGCCAGACATGTACCCAGAAGCCTCCTACTACAAGACAAGCCCAAGAAAGAAACCAAAGAACTCCACTGGCCATCACCTACAATCTTCAGCTAATACCTCTCCAATGCATCATCCGTGATCTAAAACCCATCCTGGAAAATGATCCCTCACTTTCACAGGCCTTGGGAGGTAGGCCAGTCCTTGCCCACAGACAACCTGCCAATCTGAAGCAAATTCTCACCAGCAACTATCCATTGCATCACAGTAACTCTAACTCAGGAACCAATCCATGCAACAAACCTCTGTGCCAACTCTACCCACATATTTACACCAGCGACACCATCACAGGACCTAACCAGATCAGCCACACTGTCACTGATTCATTCACCTGCACATCTACCAATGTAACATATGCCATCATATGCCAGCATTGCCCCTCTGCTATATACATTGACCAAACTGGACAGTGCCTACATAAAAGAATAAATGGCCACAAATCAGATATTAGGAATGGCAATCTACAAAAACCTGTAGGAGAACACATCAATCTCCCTGGACACACAGTAGCAGATTTAAAGGTAGCCACCCTGAAGCAAAAAAACCTTCAAGACCAGACTTCAAAGAGTAACTGCTGAGCTACAGTTCATCTGCAAATTTGACACTATCATTTTAGGATTAAACAAAGACTGTGAATGGCTAGCCAACTACAAAAGCAGTTTCTCCTCTCTTGGTGTTCACACCTCCAGATCAGCTGCTAGAAGTGGCCTCACCCTCCCTGATGTAATTAATCTAATTATCTCTAGCCTTATTCAGGCCTGCATATTTATACCTGCCTCTGGAAATTTCTACTACATGCATCTGACAAAGTGAGTCTTTGCCCACGAAAGCTTATGCTTATGCTCCAGTAAATCTGTTAGTCTATAAGGTGCCACAGGACTGCTTGTCACTTTTTCAAGGGGAGAAAAGGCAGTCAGCCAGTGGACAGGCTGGAGAAGGCCCCAAAGGCACAGAGTCCGTGTTGGAGATCTGTCATCCCTCCATGCTGGAGGCCTTCCAGGCGACACAGGATATAAGTGCCATGCTGGTTCCACCCCTGCCCTGATGTCTATGGGACACTGGCACCGGCCTTGGGGTAAACTGCTGGTCAGTCCTTGATTGCCAGGCATGGTCTTATCCCTCATTCTCCAGTGTCTTAGAAGAGAGTGCTACTAAGTCTCCATATGTCTGCACGTGAGACACGGGCATGAAGCATGATCTTCCGTGTAACCAGAGTTGGCGCACAGACCTATGCTGGCGCGCTGGCGCACAGACCTATGCAAGCACACGTCCCCCCTGCACCAGAGGTGTGCTGCCAAAGGGTCCTCTCACCACGGCACCAGTGCCATTTGCTGTGCCATAGGTACTTGCCGGCACCAAGCCTGTTCAGCTGTCGAGCACCAAGCCTGTTCAGCTGTCGAGGCATGAACCAGTTCTTCTGGTCCCTGTCCCAGTCCCACCACTGTGGAACCTTGGTCTGGCACCATTTGCTGGACTCAAGGAGTGGATTGTCTGATGCTCCAGACTCTGCTGATGCTCCAGACTCTCCCAGTTACGGTGATCTCCATTGGTGACAGAGGCCTGGCACTAGAAAAACTGCCACTCCTCTTTGTGGGTGTCAGCAAGCATCCACTCTGGCAGTATGGTGTGTTGGAAGTGGCATCCATCCCCCAGTGCAGCAGACAGCACAACAGATAGCAGCGTCAACCTCGGTGCCACCTTCGCATGGCCATAGTCTCAGTGACAGACACAGTGGTGCCCATGGGCACCCTGAGGCTTCCTGGTTCAGCCCCAGGTCACTCACTCAGTTTCCAGCATACCAGGGCCTTGAGGACTGGGGTACACCTGCCCCTCTGGGCAAAAGGGCCCAGCCCCACAGGGTTAAGAAGCCTAGCCACCCCGGCCTCAGGTTATACCTGTCTCATAGAGCTGGAAGGGAGCTTGAGAGTTCATTGAGTCCAGTCCCCTGCCCTCACAGCAGGACCAAGTACCATCCCTGACAGATTTGCCCCACATCCCTAAATGGCCCCCTCAAGGATTGAACTCACAACCCTGGGTTTAGCAGGCCAATACTCAAACCACTGAGCTATCCCCCAGGTTGCACCTGCGGATAACATCTGACTCCTGGGATTCTGCCAGGCTCTGTCCCTCCCTTCTGGATGGAGAGAAATTACGTTTCACCATTGGGTCCTGGCCACTGTCCAATATGGCTATACCCTCTAGTTCTCCCTTATATTGCCTTCCAATCCCTGCTCCCACCCCTCTTACTAGCAACTCTTTGAACAGGAGCTTTTCCAGTTGCTCCAGGTGGGGGCTACTGGAGCGAATACCACTGGAATTCAAGAACAAGGGTTTCTACTCTCACTGCTTCTTATTCCTAAGATGAAGGGAGCTTATGACCTCTACTGGAACTGTGAGGGCTCAACGAGTATCTGGCCCACTTCAAGTTCCACATGGAGCCACTATTGGCCCTGAACTGTTATCTTGGGGACTGGTATGCCACTCAACCTCAAAGATGCATACTTCTACATCGCCATCTTTGAGGGCCACAAGTGATTCCTGAGATTTGTAGTTGCAAGGAAACATTTCCAACTTGCATTCCTCCCTGTAGTGGGTTGGAGTGGCCACGCACTGACCCCGAAGGGGAGGTGCCCCTCCCAGAGCCTTGGATAGCTGAACCTGGCCCTAATGAGCCACCTGGCCGGAAACCAAGGGCCAGAGAGGTAAAAAGCCTGCTAGCCAGGCCAGTGAGGCCCCAACCACTGAAGAGGCCAGAGGGCTCCTCTGCATCTCGAGGAAGGGACCTAAGGCGTGGGGAGGTGGAGAGCTGGCGTGATCCACCGGGATCCCTGCTGCACAGCGGCCTGAAGGAACAGCTGAAACCAGAGGGCTCCCCTGCACACTGCAGAGTGGAGCAAATGCCTGGGGAGGTAGTGAGCTGGCGTGGACTGCTGGGGCCCTTGCTGCACGGAGGCCTGGAGGAACACCAGCCTTCCCTAGACTTCCTAAACAGCCTGCAAGCCACAGAGGAGTGGCCTATGGACCTTGACCGCCCCTCTCCCTGACGCTGTGGGAGGCCTACAGGACTACCAGGTACATGCTGAGAGTGAGGAGGGAAGTGGCCCAGGGACAGCATGGACATAGACCTGCCCGGATCAGCGTCTTTTGGGCTGGAGCCCCCGCTAATCCAGCAGCAGTAACCTGCTGCCTCTAGGGCCCTGGGCCAAGGCACAGTAGAGTGGACGGGCGGGCATGTGCCCCCCCCCCTGCAACCCACCGCTTGGGTGGTAGTCTCCCCCTCTCCGCCATCGCTGGCAAGCTGCCTGCAACCCTCCTGAGCAAGAAGACCCAACCGTATATGTCTTACAAACTGTTTTCCTGTGGCCCCACCCTCAACCAGGACTGGGCCTTAATTACCTGTTTGGGCTTATAGACTGCTTTGCCTGCTGCCTTGCCCTGGCCAAGGGCTGGCCTAAACTGTTGTGCCTGCTGCCCCACCCTGACCAAAAGCAGGGCTCTGAACTGTTACCTGCTGCCCTGCCCTGACTGAAGGCGGGCCACCCTACAAACTTTACCTGCGGCCCGCCCTAGACTAGGACTGGGCCCTCTTCACCATAGACTTGGCAGCCCACCCTGAACTAAGGCCGGGCCTCTGTCTCTCATTTATTGGCCTGCCCAAACCCAGGCCGCCCTTGTTATTGTTCACCTTTTTGTCCGCCCACCCTGAGGTAAGGATGATGGAACCCCAGACTGGTTGGTGGTTGTTCTAATTCCCCCGTCCCGCCCCCCCAGAGACGGATCTGGGTGTTGTGGGTTGGAGTGACCACCCACTGACCCCGAAGTGGAGGTGCCCCTCCCAGAGCTGACTAGTTTATGCTCCCCTTTGGATTGTCTACAGCCACTATGGCCTTTACCAAGGGCATGTTGGGGGTGGTGGCATACCTGAACTATCAGGGCTTCCGGGTGTGCTGTTACCTGGACAACTGGCTCTTCAAGAGGCCATCCAAATAGAAAGTTCAGCTAGATGTCGCTTCCTACTGGAAACGTGCTGTCATTTTGGGCTCCTAATAAACAAAAATAAATGCCTTTTGGTGCCTACCCAGAGGATAGAGTTTATAGGAGTGGTCCTGGACTCCACTACGGCCAGAACATTGCTCCCCCAAGAGAGATTCAAAGCACTCTCTGCTCTTGTTC